TTGTCTCTCTTTTTTTTTTCCCATAACTTTTTTGTCTCTCTTTTTTTTTTCCCATAACTTTTTTGTCTCTTTTTTTTTTTCCCATAACTTTTTTGTCTCTCTTTTTTTTTTTCCCATAACTTTTTTGTCTCTCTTTTTTTTTTCCCATAACTTTTTTGTCTCTTTTTTTTTTTTTACCATAAATTTTTTTTGTCTTTTTTTTTTTTTCCCATAACTTTTTTGTCTCTTTTTTTTTTCCCATAACTTTTTTTTTTTTTTTTTTTTCCCTTTTTGTCTCTCTTTTTTTTTTCCCATAACTTTTTTGTCTCTCTTTTTTTTTCCCCATAACTTTTTTGTCTCTCTTTTTTTTTCCCCATAACTTTTTTGTCTCTCTTTTTTCCATTTTTTAAAAAAAAATTTTATTTGATTCTTTCTTGCTAATTCTTTATTTTTTTAAAACCCCTTTTTGTGGGGTTCAGAATAAGGCATTTACTACTTTGGTAACTTTCTCATCAACTATTAAAAATAAAGATAAAACTGTCCTACCATGCAGTTTTAAAGAAAAATATTGTTCAAATGCCAGTTCAGGTACATCCAGCTTAGCACAGCCTCAAGAAATTGCTTAATAAACCTGTAGTTAACCAAAAATGTTCCCACAAATGAACAAATATAATGCAATCCAATTTTGCAGCAAAACAAAAAGAACTAATCCTTTTGGCTCTATAATGAAATCTCAAACAATTTGCCTACAAGCAATCAATTTATGATCAAGTAGCACAAATGTCTAATTATTTTATGCCAGACTTATTTTAATTCTGTGTAATTTTTATAAACAAAGAACAGCTCTTTTTTACCTAGAGTATTTCTGATAATTCATTATCAAATTTTTTTTTTTTTTTTTTTTTTTAAGTAAATTATATTTTATTTTTATTTTTTATTTTTTTAATCCCTGTATGTAAAGTTTCATTGTTGCTCTTGTTCTGCCCATAAGCTGGTCTCTGGTATTATCATGGTGTTTCTTGACTCACTGAAGTTCTGCAATGAGGAGCTATAATTAACTACATTATTTGCAGTCAGAGTGACATCCTCATTTTTGTTATTAACATTGTACTCACCAGACTTCTTTAGATGTCACTCCAAGTAGCCTTTGGGAAATGTTGAACTGCATCCTATATTTAATCTACCCAGATTGTTCTCATTCCACTGTCTTTAAATCTGGGATATCTCACCCCATTTTTTTTATTACTTCTGTTACTTTTTTATTACTATTGTTAGTCCTGTATTAGGCCAGTGTTTGAACTCAGAAACACCCAGGCCAATAGCCTAGAGGATTAAATCATTGGCTGGTGACACAGTAGAAAGAGGACTAGCAATAATTGAGCAGCACTTAAAAAGAACAAAAGCAAATATCCCTAGACATGAACAGCAGAATGAGAACAATCTTCTCCCATAGAATAAATAAAGAAAATATCTTTGCAGCAGTAGAAAATTGAAATAAAAAGAAGAGACAATGAATAAATTTACAGGTTAAAGCATAAGCAGCAAAAAGGTAACAAAATGTGATAATACCAAAACAGGATTAACAAAACAAATAAAACAAAAAAACAGCTAAATTGTTTTATCAGTCGTCTTTCATCAGAGCTCAATCAAGGGCAGAAAATGGACACTAAAGATCAAAGTGAGTTCTGTTGAAAGAAGACTGATAAACAACTTTAGCTACTTTTTTGTTAATCTTGTTTTGCTATTACCATTTTATGGTAATATTATTTCATTTTTTTGTTACCTCTTTTTTTTTGTTAATTTTTCTTCTTGTTTTAGCATGTGTTTTTATTGCCTTGAGTAAATAAAGTGTCTGTTTAGAAATTCCTTGAAAATTACCTGGGTCAAGTGACACTTGAAACAATGGTAAAAACATTATGATAAGGATCTTGGTTCAACTGTAAACAGTTTTGTTATAGCTGTTTTACAACCTTGATAATTTCAGGCTTTATGTCCATATCTATATGCCTATTAATAGTAATTTGTTTTCCTTAAGTCATAAGAAGGCTATTAAAAAAATGGAAATTAAGAACTACAATCAGTAATGTCATTAAACTAACACACACAAGTAAATAATAAACAACTCATTATTTACACTAATTACTTGCAAACTATTGTACTCATCTTATCACAACATTTTCCAACCTTCATGATGTGTATACCAATCCAGGCAATCTACAGAGAATTCTGAACTGAATCCATTATTTAAAGTACAGAGTAGACTGTTCTTGTTCCACTTCCCATATCAAAGAATATCTCATCTAGTTCATATTCTTAGTATTGTTATTGCTTGCCCTGTTTCCACTGAGTCCACGTATGCACTGCTCAACCCAGTCCAGGGATTGAACTCACAATCACTAAATAATAGCCTCTGTAGAGAACTTGGAGCCTTAAACATAACCTACCTGCTGGTGAGTGCTACTGCTGCTGCTGCTTTGTCATGCTTGACTATTCACTGAATCTTTTCTCTTTTGTTAAAGCTGCTGCTGTTGAAAACTTACTGTCATTTGTCTTTCTTTCTTCATTAGTGCCAGTCATACTTCTACTTTAGGCCTACTAAGGGAATCCTCATAGTCTAGCATAACACTGATTCTTTCCAGATGTGTAACTCTCCAGAACAAGAACTAGACAAAATATCTGTAGATATGTGGCAGAATGAATAAAGGGTTCAGCTCAGAATATCATGTGGATTACCCAGATTGACATACACATGATGAAGGTTGGAGGGCAAAACGTTGTGATAACAACAATGATGAGGACAATAGTCTGCATGTAATCATTCCAGAAATTCAAACAGAAACAACAAATCTGTAATAGACATGAAAATATCACATAACCCAAATTAAAAATGAAACCAAAAAAATTGTAACTTGTAATTAGGAAAAAAAAAATGTTTCAAATCACAAAAGAGGGGGAATTGATCAGCTCAAAACATTGCATGAAAAAAAAAAAAAAAAAAAAACAACAAAGCTGAGGATAGTCTAAAAAAAATTTCACTCTGTGCCAGATTAATCTTGTAGCAAATGTCATGATTCCTGCATTGAATACCTTCAAGCAGTCTGACTTACAATCTGGTGGTATTAATGTTTACATGTTGAGGGAACTGCATTTTTAATTATTATTTCAGATATCATTATACCAAGGCCATTTAATCTAATTTTTGTCTCTGTTTTTTCTGGGTTTGTTTATTATGTTGATAGAAATTAAATATTTACCTGTTTTAAAATATTTATCACTATGTTAGTAAACAATTTGATTTAATATTTATGGAAATTATTTTAAATTTAGGACTACATAAGAACATAAGCTACAAACCCTGCACTAGCTTAACATGGCCCTGATTCCACTGAAAATTAAAATCTCACCCAAGTAACTTTTTCATAGTTGATTACATAATTTAAATGTGCATATATTAATTATCAAATTTTTATTAAATTCATGTGTTACAAATTGCCATAATTTTTGCCATATACTTTGATACCTTTTCACAACATTAACTCTTATTCTATATAATCTATTCTGGTGAGGAGGATAGTTAGACACCCAGGATGATTAAAACCAAGACCTGTCAAAGGGCAGATGAACCTTCTTGTATGATGAGATAGACTCAACGCTGTAACTATATATATCCAAATGAGAGAAAGAACAGATTTTCCACAATCTTCAATGATGACATGTCTATGTCACGGTTTAATCGCAGGTCACAAACTCATATCCATACAACTGAATAGGTTAGCTCTATCACTGATATTGAGTGCTTTCTACTAAGTACTGCACATATATATATATATATATATATATATATATATATATATATATATATATATATATATATATATAGCCAGTGCAGTGATAATACAGTATCACTGGGTGGTGGATTTCCAAGACTAAAGTCAATGGCCAGGGTAGAGGGTTCTCCCAATAGAATCAAGACATATCTCAGTGAACATGGTGAGCCTACAAGTTGGAGGACATTGGCTGTGATTTGACCTAGAGTAAGATGGACTCTACTAGATCTGCTTGTCTAGGCTATGCATGAATGAATACCTCTTCGGCTTTCAACCCAGATATGCACAGGGAACTGGTCTGGTGCTCAGCTGTGCAGTGACCTTATAACCACACCCAGACATGAAAATATTGATGATGATGAGTTATCATGTAGACAAAATTTAAGTCTAATATTCGAGTTTCATTGCTTTCTTTTAAAAATAAAGCAGTTTCAGTTTTTACAAAAACTTTTTAAGTCTTTATCAAAATCCTTATGAAACTGTAACAAAAAGGTTAGATTCATAACAGAAAAATTAAATCTTTTCTTTTGATATTTTAGTTTTTTACAGATTTGTATGACCATTTATAAGAACATACTGGTAATGTAATGGTTAACAATACAGTAATAGAATCAGCAAGCTTGAGTTCAAATTCCAGTCTAGCATATTGTGTTCACTTTCACAAAAATGCTCTTGAAAAAGGCATGAATCCATCTCTTATCCTCTCAGCTATTGGTTAAATAGCAGGATAAACTAAGTTCCTCCAATTTAGGAGGACAACTCTGAATTTTAAACCATTGAGAATGCAACTGGAAACCACTTCCATTATCTTTCTCAAGAAGACATGGTAATTCACAGATAAAAAAAACAAACTAAATAGCCATGATCACCTACTTGCTGAAGAGACATGGCATTTTCAAAAAATTTGTTTATACAAACAAAAAAGATGTTTTTAATTCCAGCAATTATAGAATCTTGTGAAACTATAAATAACACCTGCAGAAAATTTCTGTATGTATAAATTACACATTTACAGTACAAAATATAAGAAAATTATTTATTGTAATCATATTTTAATAAGTTTTTTGAATTCATATTAATGTATCAGTTTTTTTGTGGGATTTAAATCTTATTAGTTTCAGCTTTTTTATTAAATTTTATTCCAATTTTATTCCTTGTCATGACTCTTTCATTGATGAATGTTTCTCTCTACAGGACTAAAACTGGAGTGAGACTTGGAGATCTTTTTATGTCCTTTTCTTCTATCTACCAAGATGTCCGAGCTGCTGTCGATTGGATTCACTTGGCCGTAAGTTTTATCACTTCACAGTTATATTATAATGAGCAAAAAAGACTTTGCAACTGGAGTAAAATCATGTTTAGGAATAGACTGAATACTTAGTATTGCCATTATTTTTGCATGATTGGAGAAACTTTGTGTTGAGTAATTGGCCATGGATAAATGTAATTTGCAGAACTGTCCACCAAACAGAAATGAAAAGTTTGCAATAAATAATAATAAGAGAAAGAACAGGGCAAAAATAATATAAAGCAAGCAAACAATATATGCAAGGCAAAGCAACAGTAATAAGACAAAAAGTTCACAAAACTAAGAATGATGTTAACCCACATAAGGGGGTACAGTCAAGCAATCATAATGTTCTGGCTTCAAGATAAGAAAAAACAGAACTAAGTCAGATAAGACTGAGAAGTGGCCTATCTTATTGGTTAGTGAAAAATCCCAGCATGCATATGTGTGTTTTGTCTATAAATTGGGGAGGTGGAAGTATTTTGCAGGCATTCCTATTCTGATTGGAACCAACACTTTGTTTTGCATTAATTACATTGGGTGACAAAAAAAAAAATAATTGTGCCTGATACCCAGACAATACTGGATTGAATTAAATCAAGGCTGCTGTATCTAAATTGGCATTCACAATTATCTTTATATATAAGTCTTTTGAGATATGTACATAGCCTTTTTATATTCAAGGTAAATATATTAATAGTGTTGTTGTGTCTATAAAAAAATTAATTATACTATCACTGTGTCATGTCCATAAAAAGTAAAAATGAATTAAAATGTCAAAAATGATTATAAAAATTATAATTATCCTCAATTAATTTTCTCTAAACCAGTAAGAAGTGACCCCATTTTTTTTTTCTCTACACACACAAACACATGACATTCTCATATGCGTCAACAAAAATTTCGACTCCTTTTCCTTTTTCAGTCCTTAATAGTAACATTTATCTCTTAGAACTCAACAAAAATTCAAAGAAAGAAAACCCTCATATTTTTGGACTAAATTATCTGGACACTCATTACACACATCTGTAAAAAAAAAAATTATGAGGAAGACTCTATACACTTTACTTATTCTTTCTTATCATTCTGTTGTATTCTGATCCATATTTGATCTACATTTGATTCCAAACTGACAATTTTACACAGTATTACTATCAGACATGTCTCCAACACCACATAACAACCTGATAAAAAATAAAACTTGATTTGTTATTTCCATATCTTGCTGTTTCTCATTTTTATGAGTATATTTGTATATATAAATGTAAAGTGGGGAGTTTATAATTATTTACTCACTCCTCTGGAGGCATGCGATTCATTCATTTTGGTTGGATCACAAAGATTTGAAAAATATACTGATTAGCAAGATGCTAACAGCATAACAAAGAACAGGATGCTGGATGTCAATTAAAAATCATTTGTTGCAATTTCATCTTGATTTCTTCTGGTGAATCTGAGTGCTGTAAGTGATAAGAAAGATGAAAGGTTTAACCAAACCTATCTAAGATAGGATCAAGCTACAGGGTGACCCCCCCATCAAAAACAGAACCCATTAATAATGTAATAAATCCTACAAAGGTCCAGTTAATTTCAAGAAACTTGGTGAATTTATACTTCAGTCTGGGTACAATCATTCTCCAAAGTTTTAGTTAAATTGGCCACTTTGCATAAAAGTTACGTTCTTTCCAAAATATGCTGCAAATGGGCTCCACAGCATTGGAGGCAAAGTTGCAAATGTTGTACAAAATTGTCACTTGGGCACAATTCTCTTTGGGGATTTCCCTGATTTTTGCTATGATTGCTTTTTTCAGTTCACCAATCATTTGAGGGTTGTTCTGGTACACATTATCCTTGAAATACCCCCACAAATAAAAAATTTGTGGGGTTCAAACCCAGTGAGTGTGGTGCCCACTTAATGTCTCACTTGCTGCTGATCAGTCTCTTCCAAAATCGCTCTTTCAGCCAGGCTAGGGAATCATTTGATGTGTGTGTGCATGGAGGGCCTGTCTTGCTGTGTTCATCTCAATCTATCCCTCTGTGTCGTCCCAGTGATGCCCAAAGCTTCCTCAGCACTGCCAACTCTGGACTCACTGTTTGAGGTCTCTCATTTTCATCTTCCAACCAATATGAGCTGATAATGCCATGTTTAGAAATGTTGCATGCAACGGCCTCTGTAACACATCCTCTGGTGCAGCTGCAACCCAGTAAACATTGTTTTTGCTGTTTACATGTCCTGAAAACGGTGTGCTTTGTCAGAGAACCAAACATGATCTGAGAAGTCTAAATTGTCTTTGGTTATGTCACAAAACCATTTACACATGGTTACGCATTTTTCCATGTCCGTCTCCATAAGTTTTTGCTTTATTTGGATGTTGTAAGGATACAAATGAAGATCTGATTTAAGAACACACCTCAGAGACTCTTGAAAGATTCCCAGCTGTTGATTTTGTTGTTGAAGTGATTTATTTATTTCTGTTTTAGCACTCACACTCCAACCAGAATAAGTGTTCCTCAGACCTTTAGAGTTCAGATTTTGCACAGTCCCATATTCTCTGAACATCTAAACTCGGTCAAAAATACTGCTTTTTGATGGAGCATGACAACACTGAAACTTTTTTCAAAAGTTTGCTTGCACTGCAATGTATGACTTTTTGGTGAAATAGATCTCTATGCAAAATGTCTTTTCCTTGGTTGACCCAGACATATTGAGGAAGATTTTTGTTCCAATATTTCATGCACAAAGTCAACTTATATACCCTGAAAGAGAAAAGAAAAAGAAATTAATAACAGTTTTATTAAAAAAATTGTAGATTCTGTTTTTTGTTGGGTTTTTTTTTTTTTTTTTTTTTGGTGGGGGGTGGTTGTCATTCATACAATGGCAAACAAGCTTTTCACAAATGTCTCAAACATTACTGAAGATAGAAATAGGTAATTCATATGAAGATAGGAATTGGTATTTCATATTTATTTGGTTATTTCACAACTAAATTTTCTCTCAATAAATATTATTAATATAGTATTTATTTTGAATGTGAATATTCCATGTGCATATCTCAAGAGACTGGGATGGTAATAAAGTTCTGAATATGGATTTGGAATCAGTAGAACCGATTTAGTTGAATGCATTTATTGCAGTAACATACAAAAAGTTTTTTTTTCACTTTCCAGCGGTTTTATTTATTTATTTTTTTTTTGGCTATATTTTATTAAAACATGATGTTTTAATTTCAGTTTTTCAAACATAAGAAAAATGTTATTTTTACTTGATAAAGAATTTTGGAGAAGAGAATTTACATTCAAGTTTGTTTTTTTTTAAGAAATATTTGTTCGTTTTTAATATAAATATTTCAATTAGCTTCATTTATATATATTTTATCTATCTTGTCATTTTATATATATATATATATATATATATATATATATATATATATATATATATATATAAAAAATGACAAGATAGGTAATATATGTGTGTGTTTTATGGCCAGAGTGTTAATGTTTTAACCATGAAAACTGATCACAGGAGACCATTGGAAGTGCCGGAAAAACAAATCATAGCTGAGCTTAAGTTTCGTGAGTGAAAATTGATTGGAAGCCATTGATGATGGTTGTATAAGCATCATTAATGGCTTCTATAACAGTCAGAAGTCCTCATGACTAAGGGTTTGAGTGGACTGGCCTTGTTCAACTACAGATCACACCAGATTATGCACTCTCTTCTGGAAACTATAAATAAATTCTGCTCAGCATAGATGCAGAATAAACCACAGGTTTTCTCTGCAGTTGTTGAAGAAACACAAATGTGCATTTTATATTTATATATATATATATATATATATATATATATATATACACACACACACACACACACACACACACACACATATATATATATATATATATATATATATATATATATATATACATTAAGAAGAAAGACCAAAATATTGTTTGATTATTTTATTAAATTTTTTATTATTTTATTAGTTTTTTAATCTTTTCTAGCATGTTCAAAATTTTGACTAAAAATCTTGTTTTTCTTGCATCAGCTAATGTGCTAAAGATTAGTATTAGGAAATTTAACATTTTTTTGCAGTAAAAAACATTGTTTTGGAAATTCTTGCAAAAATCAAATAATTGCTGAAATTTAATGAAATTTTCAGAACTTATTTACAAATGAATGAAATTATGAAATAATTCTTGAAAATTTTTTTTTTATTAAACCTATTTTGTTTTTTACATGTGTTACCCCCACATACCTAATTTCTTGAAATTTCATAAAATTACAATTTCAGCCACTTCATGTTTTAATTGGATATGTCATGTGTAAAGAAGGAAGATAATATTCAATAATGTTTTCTAACGCTTATTTGAATATTATGTTACTTCATTACCCATGACACATATCCAATCAAAACATCCTACTGCATCTCACTAACTTTTACACACTTTAGTATCCAGCATGTTTTCTTACATTTATTTGAATATTATCTATTACTTTATTACATGTGACATGTATCTAACCAATAAGAAATAGCCAAAAACAACATACCATTAATCTGCATCTCTTTGCTTTTCAATTTTTAGTATTTCTATCTTGATCTCTGACAAAGCTTTTATAAAGTGAAACATCTTAGATTAAGATCTATTTCCTACTTGTTCTTTATCTTATCATATATATATATATATATATACATTTTGGTTGAAACTAGTCGAGGAATCTAAATGAAATAATAATAAAAAAACGAAAGAATATTAATCTACAACCCAGTGTGTCTAAAGATTTTAATTTTTTAATATTTTTTTTTTTATTCAATATATATATATATATATATATATAGCTTATCACTATACTAGCCAGTGTATAATATACACTTAAAAAGTATGTAAATATTATGAGAAGAAAGCTGGAGAATTATGATAAATTAGAGTAAATAAGTCTAGAAAATACCTATATAAAACAAGTATCATATAAATTGGCAAATATTTGTCATTATTCA